GAGAAAGCCAAGGGTAACAACCTAATGGTTACGTGGATTTGTCTGTTTCTGTAAGTAAGGCATCTGGCTGCCAACCCTATGGCTAACAACTTTGCAAAGCTCTACACCAACACCTACGGCTACATAAGCTACGCGGATCTGTCTGCTTATAAAAAAGTAGCACGCCTGCCACTGGACTATAAAGTTTAAAGGTTAGGGCATCAACAAAAGAAGCGAAGATGAAAAAAAACGAAGGAAACATGTTTATAAACAATTAGCAAAAGCCGAAGGAGTTCAAGCAAAACAAGAGTTACAAGGAAAAACAAATAAAATCCTAAAGGCTACCTAGATGACTACACTTTAGCAGCTTGGACATCCCATGACTATTCGGTCGCCACATCTTCAGCAGCCGCGACGCTCTTAGCAACGTCATCATCCAGTGCTTCACCCCCGGCTGCCCCAACTTGGGCACCAACTTCTCCAACTACTTCACCAATGGAAGCCTCAAAAGTAAAAGCAAGCAAGTCTTTCGAAGAAATAGGGAAGGTCTCGAAACCTCGAGCTCATCCTTCTCACCCTTCAGCTGCTCATTCTCCTAAAGCAGACCAACACGGACGCGTTATAGCTCATCCATTTCCTTCTTCAAACTTTTGTTGATCTTCAGTACATCTTGAAGTTCCAACACTTGGGGTTCAAGCTTATCGACGATTCTCTTGAAGTGGATCATTTGATTATAAGCAGCAATCAACTTTTCATCCTTTGCAAAAGTAGTGAAACGAAGCTCAGAAATTGCAAACTCAAGATCTTAAATCTGAAGTATGTAACATCCAATCTCCTTCTTTGCACTTTCATACTTAACTTGGATTGCGTCAAGCCTAGTCTTTAAGACAACGATCTTTTGACGAGCGGTCTCAAGCTGCAGAGAAAGGGGGCAGAAATATTAGACCCATTCAAAGCAACGAGCTCAGAATTCGACCTCTTTTATCTCCTTGGTTGAGGAATAAGCTTCAGCTGCCATAGTCTTCGCCACCCTTCTTGGCAGCCTTGTTATATCTACATCAAAGCAAACAGATCAGTCATTCTATATTGTGTATGTTTTGCAAAGGAACTTGGGCAAGCAAACCCTTCTAACGTCATCAACAAACCTGGCACAAGCGTCCGTGTCTTCAAGCAGATATGGTTTCAAGAGCATACAGATCTCATCAGCCTCCCTAGAATCAGGCTTAATGGATTTCTCACAGCTGCCCATACTAGCAGTCTCTCCCTTCCCAGTGGGCGAATCAGTCTCGATAGTAGAAGAAGTGGGCCTTGGCACTACTTTAGCAACAGAGTCCACCTTATTGCTCTTTATAATAGCAAGCTTCTCCAAAGATGAACCAGACTTGGCTCTCAACGGACGTCTTGGTACATGCTTCGGCACTAGGGGCATGAAATGACCTTTACGTTGAGCAATTCTATCAGCAATCGTACAAGCCATTCTCGGCATGGCAGACGCCACATGCTCAGATCTAGCAACCTCATTTTTCTTCTCATTGGAAGAAGTCATGGCCATCACAGGCCTCTCAGCAGCAGGTGGACCCTCACAAGTAGCAGAGGAAGTCTTCAGTTTTTCTCAACTGGCATCTCTTGAGCAGGCAGAAATATCTCTTCTTTCCACCTTCATTCATAATAGGCTACACAACAGCGTTCAGACAAGCCAATGCATCCGCTTTGATCCTCTTTACCTTTTCTCTAGGGAGCAGCCTATTTTCTCCCGACAAAGAAGACTAAGCAGCTAACGCCATTTGCGATACTCAGCAGAGGAGCTCAACCCAGCATTCTAGCAGGCAGAAGGTCTGCATACCCAACATTCCAGCAACCCATAAAGCCCGCGACCTTCTTATTTCTCTCAATCACCAGCTTAGCCCGCATCAGGTCCAAGGGCCTAAAGGATATGAGCCATGCGACTACCCTAGCACTGCGCCCCAGCGCCTCAGTTCGCGGCCCAAACTGCTCAAGCTGCCCTTGGCTCTAGCCAAGCCAAGCAACCCAAGTAGTGGCCCTTGCCACAACACCTCATCGGCCCATGCTGAACCGACTCTTGGCCCCTACCAGCCGACGTGTTGCATCACCTTGACAGCTCCCCTGCTACAGCACTATCCAAAAAGAAGACAAGAAAAATTAAAATTTTCTTACATCGGTGCGGCACGGAGAAGACGAAGAAATCAATGAAAGACGAACATTTGCACGGGTAAGATGTAGAAGATTGCTAGAGGAGGGGTAACAATAATCCTCTAAGCTTTCTCTCTCTTGTAGGGTAGAATAAATCGCTCTCCAAAGTTGATTTAATAACCCACTTAAGGTGGACTTAAATAGGGTTTGAGAGAAATTTATTTTCCCTTTCCTGGAAAGATCTAATTTCCTATTAAAAGAGAGAATCAACAACAAAATAGGAAGCAATTCAGAGTTTCCTAAAGCGAGAAAATCTCTACACCTGTTGCCCTTTCCTGCGAGCAGCCCAACAGGTGTGGGGACATTTGTGGAGCCAAAAATAATCACAAGGCGACACGTGGATTCTTGGGTAAAAGAGGACAAAAATACCCTTGAGGCATACTGGGATTCCTGCATGCGAGCAGCGGGCAATCATCTCTAAACCAAGTCAAAGGTGCCCAAAAAATGTAACAAATTCAAGGTTATATCATCCATCCTCATCTTAGGTAATTACTTCATAACCTATAAATTATTTCATATAAATAGAGATTATTAATGGATTAATTCCTAATTAATCCATTAATCACCAATTTAATCACCCATTATATCAAATAAGTCACCCAAATTAATCCCAAAAGCTAGTCAAAACCGGCCACCTCCCTTTGCTCCTTACCTTTCTTATTTTCTCCACTTTATTACCCAAATAAAGTTAGTCATCCAATTTGATAACCCCCCCCCCCCATTTATTTCTTTCATATTTAATTAGCCAATAAATTGGCTAATTAAACCACAAATTCAACAAAAAATCCACAAGTTGGCCGGCCACTTTCTCTCTTAAGTGGACCGGCCTAACCCTATAAATAGGCTCCCATTTTCACCAAACACTTATTCCAACACTTTGGCAAAAATCCCAAAATTCTCTAAACACTCTTTCTCTCTAAATTCTAACTTTGCCATCGGAGGTTCTTCGGCTAAAGCCCCCCATTCATCGTGGGCGCGTGAGGCTCTTGGCCTTAACTTAAGATGTTAATTGTTTTGTAGGTGCAAAATTGTCCAAGATCAAGGAGAAAGAAATTTGCATCCACAAATCCAGCATCCCATTGCATGAATGACTTATATGCATCTACAAACTCTATTTCATGTAGCCATCCAGAAGCCAATTGCATACCGTTGTGATAGCTTCAATGAACCTACTGTTGTAAAATTTAATATTGTTATTATTATATTACATTTATTAATTGAATAGAAATTAGTAGTGGAGCTTTTTGGTAGAAAGATGTGTTTGTTCAAATGAAGAGTTTCAACTTTTGACTCTTCATGAATAGTCTCATGTTTCCAAAAGGTGTCTCACATTCTATAAATAGGGAAGCCCTGTAATCACTTAATAGCTTTTCATTGTTTTACGTAATCATACATAGAGTGCACTAAATATTAGAGAGTCTCATTGAGTCCATATGAGAGGATATGAGAGGGTTTTCAACACAATCGTGGTTCATGAGCCTTGTGATTTGAAGCGCTACTATCACAAGGACGTGGTCGCTTCAAATCACAAGGACGTGGTCGTTGTATCTTAGGAGACAAGCGCTGATCAACTATGAGCACCGTAATGGGACGTAAACATGTGTTAAGGACAAAGTGTCCAACACTTACCTTGACCATATTTCCAAGTTTTTCTAATCCATTATCTCATGTTCATTTAACATTGGTTAATTACTCATGTGCATGCATTAACTTTGATATATAATGCATGAATTATTTCTTAATTTTCTATGTGATTTAATATAGCAATTAGACCCTATTTTTACCTTCCTAGTGCTATGGCTTTCCATTATTTCAAACACTTTTTCAATCCTTAAAAGGAGTTTTGACATGCTTACACCTCCCCTTTCTCCTGGCATTATTTCTTTAGGTCTAAAAACCTTATTCATCGGTGACACAGTCGCACAAAGAAAAGGGTAGAGTAAACAAATCATTTTTTTTTAATTTCCTCCAATATCTTAATCAACTCACCAAAATAGCTATACATTAAACGAATGAACATTTACACTATAAATTTTCATCTCAACTATATACATTTGATGAAGAGAAATGACACTATTTGTAGAATACATGTGATTGTTAGGTGGCTGTATTTCATGAAATACTCATTTCCAATGGTTAGCGGAACATCATATATGGACAGTTTCTTGAGTGTCATACGTAGTTCCTCACCACGGTACCATAACATGGCCATGAACAATCCAAACAGACAGTCCAAACCTAAAAACATGACATGAAATATGGATACAGTGATTTGTAGTCGGGCCCAAGAAAATTTTCAGTTGAATATATATCTGAAAATAAATAAATAATTAATTTTTAAGAAAGCAATAAATAAAAAATGTTTTAAATTCTAACCAAAAATGTGAAATTGTTACATCATTTACAGGTTAACTATTTACTGTTGTATAGCAAATTTAACCTGTATAGAACAGCCAAAGAAGGGTTCAAATTGAGAGAAATGTTGGGTGTTATATGATTATATCTATATGCAATCAGTCTTTTTAAGGGGAGTGATCTCAATTTTTTTTTTTTAAATGAAGATTAGTTGTGGGACCTAGATTACATTGAACTTCAACTATCTGAACCGTCTATTTTGTAAGTCTTGATTTATAGATCATCTTTGCAAAAATTCAATGCTATCTGAAATTATTTGCCTATTTAATTATCACGATTAAATTTCAATGTTTTTTGTAAAACAAAGTTTTCGTCAATTCCTTTCAACTAAATTAGATGCCTTAGATATTTCTAATTTGGCCAATATTTTGCAAGGATGATCTATGAGGTACAACTTAATAAACGGTTCAGATCGTTAAAATTCGATGTGGTGTGGGTTCCACAATTAATTCCCAATTTTACAAGGGAAGTGTTATTGGCATTCCAAAAGTTTCATTCTCCACTTCTCACAAGTGTATTTTTCTTTCCAAATATATAAAGTTTGAAGTGTAGAATGAAATTTTTGAAGTTCTAATAACAATTCATTTTTATAAAATAAAAAAAAAAAAAAAAAAAAAATCCCTTCTTTTAAAGCCTCCTCTATGCAATAACAAATACCGTCTCACAAATATGAGTGGAGGTATATGCCCCCTGTAGGCATTAACATCTTTTTGTATCCTCATATGCCCTGCAAATCTCTTCAATGTCCATTTCAGAATAAACCGCAAGTGAATCATCCTCCAACTCACCCACCTTCTCCTCTTGCTCAAGCTGCAAGTCAATGGTGTCCTCACTTTCTGAACTGCTCTCATAGAAACCATTCTCTTCCATGTCTTCCATGTCACTGAAAGCTTCAATTTTCTTCTTTCCCCTATAACCGATAAGGCTCTGGACTTTTTCCTTCCAAACCACCAAAGGGCATTTCTCAATCAGCTCCGAACCTTTGTAAGCTTCCTTCAAGAACACGCTAAACCTCTTCCCCCTCTCAGAAACATAGAAGATGCCAAAATGCTTCAGCAGAAGCCTCATAAGCTTCTGTGGCATCACAAGTTCGCGTCGAAAATGAGTAAGGTGATCAGTAACCAATCTCTTCTCCACAGTAAAACTAAGCAACTCATGCATAATAGCAACTGCCCTCTTGTCAAATTCTTTAGAGCCGGCTTTGAGTCCCCTGGCATCCGCGTATGGAGATAAATAAGACCTTTTCTGAAAATGATCGATGGCTCCTTTGTACTTGTACGCCTTTTTATAATTTGGGGGGAACTTCAACGGAAAAGAGAGCGAAAGCAAGCCCGGGACATGATCATCACTGGCCTCAGTGATCCCCATTGTCTTCTTCTCCAGCTCGGTTATAGCCCACGCATGATTCCAATTAACAAGTTCCAAATGCTCAACATCCTCATTATCTTTAACCACCTTGAAATATTGGGGATATTTGTGAACCCAATTAGTCCTGAAATCAACTGGCAGAGCAAAATCCCTCCTGAAATGGACAATCTTGTCCAATGCCAGCCTTTTATCGACAGACATCATAAGAAAGCGTGTCACGAATTCGGCCGCGGTATCTTGATGCTCCTCAAGCATTCTGTTCTCCTCTTGTACCAATTCCTCACCTTGCTTGGTCATCCCACACCATAAGATCCCTCTGTGATCCTTGTACAATTCAAACAGTTTCGGCGATTTTCGAATAAAATCAGACACCCTGCGGGGCTTCGGGAGACTAATCTGGCTACGGTACTGATCCAATTGCCTGACGGGAATGATCATTTCGGGCTCTTTTTTCAGAATTTCCATCAAGAACAACACTTTGGATGCTATCTTCCATTTCTCAGTCACAATCTCGAGATCATGAATCCTCTTCAATTTGCTTCTGTCTTGCACCCTCTTGCTGGTGGTCATGAACCGCTTCTGGTTCATTGACCACCACTCACCGGACCAGTATCGTCTCACAAACATATTGTTTTAACAAAGGGAAGCAATGTAGCTACACGCACATATGGTGTTTGTTGAAATGCCACAGTGAAGCCGTTTGATACAACATTTGGTTGGAAACACAGGGGGAGTTTGTGGATATGAAATTTATCGGATATTAGACCATGGGTCGGACTTTGAGGTGAAAATTTGGACTTGGGTGATCTGGTTTTGGAACCATGAATCTCGCCCCAGAAATAAGAACTGTGGAGCTCCTCTTCTCCCCCATCAACCTTTATCGACGCCGCGGCTAATATAACGACGGGGTTTATAAGGCGGGAGTTAGTTGCGGGGCTCTCTAATAGCCTTTCGATCGATCAAACGGTTTATATTCAATATTGCCTTTAGTGTTTTTTTTTTTGTTGTACATCATATGCCATTAGTTACAACTTGTTTCTTCGACTTGTCGAAATCTCAATTACCAGATCAATTAAATCCTAATTTTTTTTCTTAAGAAAAACGATAACTTTATTTATAAAGAATATTCAACCGGAACACAAATTTTAGTAAAACGCATTCCTTATATCATCAGGAGTTTTTCAAACCAAATCGTAGAATCATCACTACAAATTGACAATGAGTATTAGCACCCATTAAATATTAAGGAAAACTAATGAAAAGGGCTTGAAAACTTTGAGTTTTAATGATAAGGACAAAATAAAGGGTAAAGTGAATAGTACCAGGATTGACTTTTTAGTGTAAAAATGTGGTTTTTCGTTAAAGTGAACAGTACCGGGTGCTTTTCGTTAAAGTTCCCTAAATATTATTGTTAAATCAGTTTAAATTTTAAAATTTATTTATTAAATAAAAAAAATTACTTATCTACCGATAACTAATACTTAAATTAATTCGGCATTTCGGTGTAGAAGTTTAATAAGATTGGGCCTTTAGGCAATATAAAAGTCCGTCTTTTATTAGATTTTGTATTTGATTATGGAGGCCCAAAACAAAATAAGAATCTTAGATTCATAGGACAACAATACTCTTAATCGTAATGAAAAGTTGAGATTAAACTTTGGAGGTGGATTGTCTGCCTCCCATTTTCATATTCTTCACATCCCTTTCTGTTTGTGTGATTACGATTAAGTCACGTCAATATTTTATATTAATTTTTTATAAAAAGAAAACAAAAAGTAATAAGAATATAAAATGTTAACGTGACTTAACCGTGGCCACACAAAATAGGAGGGCATGAAAAAAGTATGAAAATGGAATGACAGACAATCCACCTCCTTAAACTTTAGGTGATTCAAAAGCCAACATCTATCTGCCATTCGTTTTCATTCACGATTAATTTTAAACTCTAAATCTTGAAGTCCCTCAGTCTTATTGGAAATAACAACAATCCTCAAATTATCATTTGCAAAAATTAAAATTAAAATTTAAAAACGATTTGTTATAAACATAAAAAAGCATATGCATAGATTTCGATGGACTAACATACAACTTATTTTCGTGGTAGACATCTTACTTATTTAATGCTCAACCATGAATACAAATTCTCGCATCTCATATAATATGATGAATACGATCTACAATCTAACATGATTTTAGTCTTTTCACTTGATTTTCAATAGCTTTCAAACCTTTACACTATGTTTGGATAAAGAAATTTAAGATTACTAAGAAATTTTAAAATAACTGAAATTGAAATGACAGGATTTTATTTTCTAGAATTTGTGAATTTTCTTATTTGGTTAACCTAAAAGAATAATATAATTGAATAAGGAATTTATTATTTTTAAACTCTCAATCATAGAAATTGAGAAATGACACATATTTAGATGGAATTTAAACTTGGGAATTGGAGGTCCCAATCCAAGTTCTTTTCTACGCAGAAATTCCAAATTTCGATGTTTATGAATTCAAACAAAGGAATTGGTGCATGGAAATTTATAAATTATGATTTTTATCAAAATTCCAAGTTTATTTCTCTCATCCAAATATAGTGTTAGTTTTATACGATGAGATTCCAAGAAGGTTTTTTTATTTTTTTATTTTTTTATTTTTGGATGGTTACCTGAAATGGTTTGTGGTTTCAAGTTTGTTAGTTTCCTCCACTCCAATATCTTAATTTACTAATGAATAAATAGCAAGTAGGACGAAAAAACATTACATCATCCAAATAAAAAATCTAATTATCTATTGTTTAAGGACTTTCGAATAATTTGATGAATATACAACTAGCAAAGCTGCAATTTTTCATCACCATTTATAAACATTTCACGAGAGAGAAAAAAAAAACGAGTTGAAGTAACATCTAATATTCATTTCCTGTGTGGTACAATAAATGTGATTGTTTTGTTTAGGTAGAGTGTATTTCATAAAATACTCATGTCCAATCTTTAACGACACAAAGTGAGCAGATAAATTTGGTGATCAAGCTGCCATGATTGTTTTCTCCTCAGTCTTTGTAGTGGATTACATTTACCCGTGAAATTCAACAACGTAAGTCATACATTAGTGTATTCTAGATTTTTTTTTTTTTTTTTTGCTATGTTGGATTCTGAAAGAATGATGTTCTAGTAGGTGAAAAAAAGAGGTCTTGGGCCAATCAGTTGCAGCAAAGGACTAGCCATGAACCCTAGCTAACCCTCTTGTAGAAATTTCGGAATTTCGTGTTTACACCTCTATTGCGCATTCCAAATTCAAAATGCCTAAAGTGTTTTGATCTTCTAATCTCACACCAAAAATAACAAAATGAACATGTTTGCTAGATGGCTTTCTGAGTTCTATCACAACTACCTCTCCGTTCATATTTAGAATTATAAAAATATAGACAGAAAGATAGACATAACTTATTGACGATTGGAGGTGACCATCTACAAGTTGCAGAAGACCTGGTAAAGGATCTCCAGTCTCTCTACCACCCTTTTGGTTAGGTCATATAGCTACATACGATACGAGTAGGACCCGTCTTTGGGATCAACATTATGTCCACGATTTTTACAAGTTTATTTTACTTTTACGCGAATTGTGATGTTACTCAAGTCAGGTCACTGTCATCATAACATTACATGCGATCAATTGTCATAAATCGTATGAATGCATGTAGTCGAGTGATCATAGCAAAATCCGGGATTGTTTTCTCTTGTTATTATGATCATACCCTACACACACCTCCCACTTGTTTACATGAAAGCTTTCTTAGTTAATTGTGGTATGGATGTGATGAGTACAAGCAATTGGTAGTTATTATTGAAAAGAAAGTGTACAAGTTGTAATAACTAATAAGCATACAAAACACAACAAAACCTGATTAATTCAGATGTTGACTTGATCATGTTCATGAGTTGCTGAACATAATATAAAACTCCCCATTAACATGAGATACAGAAAATACAGATGAAGTTACAAATATTCATAATAAACCGGCAATTTCTTTCTACTACCACCCTTTTATTCCCAAGATTTCTTTCATCACTTCCTCCTGAAATCGAGATAGACTTATACTCGGGAGTGCCATGTGGTGTTTTGGACTAATGATACAATTTCACGTGGAATATAATTGAAACATCTATGACGTTGTATTATTAGTCTGGAATGTCATATATAGGGTGTGTATTGTTATTAAAAGTTCTTCCCCCTTAAATCTGCCTCATCAAATCTTCAAATATCTTCATAGCAGAAGCTGGCAAGCCCAAAAGCACATTTATGCTTTTCCTATCTTCTCCATGAGATAGAAACAAACAAACTTCCTTCTCAGGCAAACCCACTGGCCCTGAAAACACAGGCTCTCCCCAGCCAAAGTCAGTTGTGTGGAAACTTAGCTTGGACCAAGTTGTTATCAAAAGGGTTGCTGCCAAAGAAGGCCTAGCTCTTGTCACTTCAAAGTAGTCGACCACCGACCTCATATAACCGTCCGTCACCATTTTAACCGCCTTTTCAACTAATCCAACCGCGAACGAAATTGGATTCTCCATTAGCTCCCCAGCAGTGCACAGTGCATGTGTCAACAAAATTGCATTCCCGAAGAACCCTTCTGGTACTGGCGGCTCAAGTTTTGAGCGCCCATCAACGGCGAAAAGGAGCTTCGTTTTTTTATCCGGCCTCATTCTCAAGGCCTCAGTTCTAGCTCTCCAGACAAAGGCAGAGAGTGCTTTAAATGTTGTGCACTTCTCAAGAACCCCATCTTCCATGGCCATTTTCTTGAGCTTTTCAAGCTTCTTGGGGTCGAAACAGAAGGCGCTGTATAGCAGTTCTTCTTCATAGAGCTTGGAGTTTTCGGATATGTCTTCGATCTGAATGAATTCGTCGTGAGGAAACTCTATCTTTGGTGGGTTACTCGGTTTGAGTATGTTTCTGTCGAGAAATGGCAGAACCTTGAGCGGCAAGCCTCTTGCCGTATCACTCCACGAGTTGATAAATTCCATTACAGCAATCCCATCCGACGTACAATGGTTGATGCATAGCCCCAGAGCAAACTCTCCGCATGTGAACTTAGTCACCTGAAATTATTTAAACAATCACCTTAACAGTTGACATAAAATAAGTACTCTACCTGCTAGTAAAATTATTTATGCTAGATTTTAACAATTGAAAAACACAAAACGTTCAATCTGAACAAAAATTACGAAACATTCAATCCGAAAAGGCTTAATAGTATTATGCATAAACTTTGAGTCTAAACCGTGTGATATATTTTGAAGCACTAGACATCCTTTTAGGAGCGGATATATTTCTAGAAAATTAAAGAGAGTATGACCGTGTGGTGTAGCATTAGCCCTACTCAATACTCATCCTAGGTAAAGTGTGACTATGTTGAGCGAGACGCTGATGTTACATCAATGGCGGGTGAGCAAAATTGCTCTCTCAAAGGGAAATATTAGTTTGGAAACTCAAACCTGTACTGTCAAGAGAGGAATCTCAAGTATGTTGGCGCCAGGAATATCATGAACCAGATTTCCAAGAGTTTTAGGATCAGGCTTTGTTGTGTCACCTATCTTTTCCATTTCACAGTTGGCTTCAGCTTCCACAAACACAGCACCATCTCCTGTGCAATCCACAATCAGCTTCCCTTCTGTGCTGATAGTTAACTTTCCTGCAAAAGGGTAGTAGTGAACAAGAATTTTTGACAGTGCACTCTTTATGACTTTAGCGGCTTCGTAGTTCCCTTTTGAATCCGATTTGAAGCAGTACATGGTTCGGACTATGACCGCAATGTTCTGGTCCAGGTTCGACAGGTAGTACAGACCCTTCTCCGTTTCGGATTCAGGAGGCACCAAAGTTGGTTCTTCTTTCTTTACAATAAGCTCAAAGACTTGGTCACTGATATCCCCCATCACTCAAAAAACCCCTGTACAATCTAGAAAAGTAAGAAAAATGTGTTCACTCGTTAAGAAAAACAGACGTCCTGTCCAGAGAATAACTGTAAATATGTATATGTAACCAAGAACTTAGCTTTAAAAGGAAAAAAAAATACCCAAAAGGGAAATAAGAACTACAAATTGAAATGTACCTGCAATGCTTGGATGTAAGATATCAAGGGGAGATGAATGGTTATGATGAAAACTCGGATTTGCAGTCCTTCTCAGATGGGGTTGTAGTTTAATTATATAGGGAGCAAATGGGGCTGCATACTAAATGCTCCTGCAGCTGCAGCTCTGTGGTCATATATCTTCTGTATTTTTATTGGAAGAAAGAATGGCAACTAGGGTTAGGTTAGGTTGCATGTTCACCGTACAAAGGATTTTAGGGTGATAGATAGTGTTGTCAATTCCCTTAATTCAAGGGATGTGTCTTATTTGTTCTTTTTTTTGTTAGCTTTAGATGTAAATCAAGGAGGAATAGGTAGTCTTGTTTTCTTCCCTCTAGCACATATATATTTGCTATCTCTTGTACCTGATTGTCTCATGATGAATATACCATTCACAAAATACAATATGGTATCAGAGCAGTGACCTAACCGGCCTGTCTCTGTGGTGTTCTCTTGAGAGATTTGTGAGCTTCTTCTTGTCCTTCAATCATGGCTGAAGAAAGCTCAGTAAATTTGGAAGGAGACGGCTTTCATGCTACTCCACCATCACCACACTCAGATATTGATATCAACCCAAATCAACGTCTTAGTTATGTCTTGCTAAATGAGTTTAACTATCTTCCATGAGAGAGAGCAGTTTCTCTTGCTCTGGGAGGACGATCAAAGCTTGGTTATGTTAATGGTGCTATTCCAATGCCTAAGACTACCTCACCGGAGTATGATGCTTGGCTATGCAAAGATCAGTTGGTCATGTCATGGCTAATCAATTCCATGGATCGTAAGATTGCATAAATTTTTAGCTATGCTGAATCCTCCATGACTCTTTGGAAAAATCTCAAGGAAATGTATGGAAATCAGAACAATGTGGCTCGTGTGTTTCAGTTAAAGAAGGACATTGCTGGTTTGCAACAGGAAGGGAAGCCATTTGTGCAACATCTTGGAAAGCTAACCATTATGTGGAACGAGCTGAATGTGTATCGACCACACACCATCGATGCTGCTGTGCTAACTAAAAGAGCCGAGGAAGAGAAAATATTCCAACTTCTAGCAAGCCTGAGCCCTGAATTCGAAGATCTTCGAAGCCATATCCTCATGAATCCCGACCTACCCTCTTTTTCAAGTGTGTGTGCCACAATTCAAAGAGAAGAGGTTCGAAGGAAAGTCATGACCTTAGACATAAAGGCAAATATACCAAAAGCTAGGGCTTACTTCTCTAACCAAAAACTTGGTGAGGAGAGAGGATACAAAGGACAGAAAACTGGCTTAAAATGTAGCCATTGTGATGCTGGTGGGCACTTAAGAGACCGATGCTGGATTCTTCATCTAGAGTTAAAACCAAATTTTCCTAAGGATAACAAAGGTGTCTCGAAAAGCTCGTACAACCCTTCTTACAAGGCAAATCATGTTGCCACAACTTCTTTTGAGAGAGCACTGAAGTTCACCACTAATCCAGCTGCACTGATCAAAAAGTTTGCTAAGTTTCTTCACAAGAAACAAGGTCTTGGAGATAGTGAAGGACCACTAAATCAGTGTGACAACAATCAAACTGCACTACTAGGACAGTTTGTTGGCTTCCTGGCTGGAAATGAAGGCGTGGTACAAAGGGACATCCCAGGTATCTTACACTCCTTCTCAACTGCTCTCAACATTGGTAATGTGCATGATTATTGGATTATAGATTCTGGAGCCATTGATCATATGACTAACAAGTCTACAAACTTGCATAAATTTGAAAAATTTTCTATTCCATCTCAAGTGTCAGTTGCCAATGGAAAAAATGCTATGGTTGTGGGAAAAGGAAAAATACATTTGATCTCAAGTGATGTCGAGTCTGAGGCTCTTTATGTTCCCTCATTCCATTTTCAACTTTTATCTATTGGCAAGATCACAAACTCATTAAATTGTCTTGCCATTTTCTTTCCCAAAAATGTGATCGTTCAGGATGTAGTCACCAAGAAGACGATTGGTGAAAGATTTTTCTTAAATGGTCTCTACTATCTTTCCAAGCATATTCAAGTTTCCAAGGTTTTTCAAGTCACTTCAAGCTTAGCTCAAGAACAACAACTTGGGCACCAACGTCTAACACATCCTTCTGAAAAAGTTCTATCCACCTTGTTCCCAAACATGTGCAAAGTTGCAAGTCCTTGTGATGTTTGTCATTTTTCTAAGTTTACTAGATTACCATTTACTTCCTCTTTGTCTAGGGCTAGTAATCCTTTTGAAATCATGCATTCCGATGTTTGGGGACCAATTCTAGACTCTTTTGATGGATACAAATATTTTGTAACTTTTGTGGATGATTTCACAAGGATTACTTGTTGTATCTTTTGAAATTTAAAAGTGAAGTGATGGAAGTTTTTCAAGATTTTCATAGACTTGTGGCCACCCAATTTGCTTCAAAAATTCATATTTTACGATCAGATAACAGCACAGAATATATGTCTCATAACATGTCACACTACTTGAGCACACATGGTATATTACACCAAACAAGCTGTGTTGGAACACCTCAACAAAATGGGGTGGCCGAGAGGAAGAATAGAGATCTACTTGAGAAGACTAGAGCTCTTATGTTTCACATGAATGTGCCTAAGAAGTTTTGATCTCAAGGAGTTCTTATTACGGCATATCTCATCAATAGATTGCCTAGTAAAGTATTGAATTTTCAATCACCTTATGAGGTCTTGAAAAATAGAAAGATCAACTTTTCCCATTTGAGAGTCTTTGGGTGTACATGCTTTGTTCACATTTAAGCTCAAAATCGTGACAAGCTAGACCCAAGGGCTGCCAAATGTGTCTTTCTAGGTTATTCATCTACCCAAAAAGGTTACAAGTGCTATAATTCAACAACTAGAAAAATGGTTGTTTCAAGGGATGTTAAATTTGAAGAACATGTTCCTTACTTCTCACAATCACTGGATTACTCTAGACAGGGGGAGCATTTAATGGACTTATTTCCTTTACCATATCCAAACGAAGAAGATGCAACATGCACTCCTAGTGATCATGTGCCGGATGATGTTAATCTTCACTCGATGGAACATCTTGAAGATGAAACCCCTTCCTCATCGGAGATTCACACTGCACCTTCCAGTGATCCTTCCAACCATGATGTTGTTCAAATACATGTAGTTCAATCTCCTACAGTTCGTTGCAATCCTGCACGAGAGAGGAAACTTTCATCCAAGTTGCATGATTATGTGACCTACACTGCCAGGTATCCCGTGACTGATGTTATTGACTATAGCAAAGTCTCATCTTCTTTTGCTACATTCCTAAGTGCCATTAATGAAGCTCGAGAACCTCAAAGTTTTCAAGAAGTCAATCTTCACAGTGAGTGGAGAAATGCTATGGCAGAGGAGATTCAAGCCCTCCATGAAAATAACACATGGACTATAGTGAAACTTCCAAAAGGAAAAAAGGCAATGAGGAGTCGTTGGGTGTACAAAACTAAGTTTCATTCAGATGGCACAATCGAAAGGAATAAGGCTCGCTTGGTTGCTCGAGGTTTTACACAAACCTATGGCGTCGATTATAAAGAGACATTTGCTCCGGTGGAAAAAATGAACACTGTTAGAGTATTGTTGTCGGTTGCAATTAACAATGCATGGCCTCTCTTTCAAATGGATGTTAAAAATGCTTTCCTGCATGGTGAACTTGAAGAAGAGGGTTACATGAAGTTACCCCCAGGTCATCCTCAATCAAACAATCTAGAAATGGTGTGCAAACTCCATAAATCCATTTATGGTCTCAAGCAAAGTCCACGTGCATGGTATGCCAAGCTCAGTCATGTTCTGGAAAGGGTTGGTTTTTGTCGAAGTATTGCGGATTCTTCCCTATTTGTTCGTTCCAGCTCAGTGGGTAAACTAGTTGTGTTCATTTATGTTGATGATCTAATTGTGACAGGTGATAATATGTCAGAGATTAATGCTCTTAAACAGTATCTCAAAAACAAGTTTGCTATCAAGGATCTTGGCACTCTCAAATACTTTCTGGGCATCAAGATGGCACACTCTCACAAGGGTTTCTTCCTCAACCAACGCAAGTATGTCATGGATCTTCTTCACGAAGCAAAAATGACAGATTGCAAGCCTGCTCGTACCCCCTTGGATAGCAACTTGAAGCTAAAAACTCACGGTGATCCAGTTCCCAATTTAAGTTACTATCAAATAATGGTTGGCAAACTCATTTATCTGACTATCACACGTCCTGATATATCATATGTCGTCAGCATTGTTAGCCAGATTATGCACTCTCCAAGCATGGATCATTTGAAGATTGTTCATCGTGTGCTACGTTATCTTAAAGGTTCCATTGGTAGAGGAATTCTTATGCACAACAATAGTCACACTCAGATTTCAGGCTATACCAATGCTGACTGGGTAGGTAATTATCTCGATCGCAAGTCTACCACTGGGTTTTGTACGTTTGTGGGAGGCAACTTAGTTACCTAGAAAAGCAAGAAACAAAGTGTTGTTGCACGCTCTAGTGCAGAGGCAGAGTATCGTGCTATGGCGTCGACTGCTTGTGAACTTATTTGGCTCAAAAGCCTTCTGTTGGCTTTAGGTTTTCCTCATCAACAACCTATGTCCTTACACTGTGATAATCAGGCCGCGATGCACATTGCATCGAATCTTGTATTCTATGAGCAAACTAAACATATTGAAGTTGATTGTCACTACGTCAGAAATCAAGTTCAATCCAAGGTGATCGATACTCACTACACGCGCAGTCATGATCAACTTGCGGATATTTTCCCAAAAGGATTAACCTCTGCTAATTTTCAGCGTCTTTTGTTCAAGCTTGGATCAATTAATCCCTTTGATCCAGCTTGATGGGGAGTATTGGAAGAAAGAATGGCAACTAGGGTTAGGTTTGGTTGCATGTTCACCGTACAAAGGATTTAGGGTGATAGAT